ATAGTTTGGAAGAGCCAACCAATCAACAGGAGGCTCCTGTTATTCTTCGTTTATGCCCACCTGCTTCGCATTGCTTCGCTCCGGGACGATGGATCTGTCCAGTCTAGGCCCATGGAGAACGCGCTGACCAGCTGGCCAAGAACCTGCGAGCACGTCAGGCGGGCACCGAGGACGGCATGGTCCGGTTCAGCCCGGGGACTCTGGTGATTTCCCGTTACGGTGCCGTGTCATTTTGGTTCCAAGCTTGGGGGGGACGGGGGGCAAGCACCCCAGCTCTGGAGGGTTTTCGAAAAAGACCGGCTGGCTTGCTTCTTGAGAGCTTTTTTGGGGGACAATTACATTCTGTAGTTGGAAACTATCCTTGTAGCAATAGATTCTTGGCCCCAATCGAGTGCCATTTGACGGAAGGTAGGGATGTGCAAATTGCATGTCATACCAGGATGCGTCAGCAGAAACATCCCAAATGATAGATCGTTCTCAAATTTCAATGAGCTAGGGGATAGTGGTGTGCTCAACCCCAAAGCAACTGCCCTGCCATCATTTTTCGGAAGAGACTCGACCCATTTGTGAAAGCATGTTTTTGGATTTGATTGGGAACTGTGATCAGGAACTGCTCCTGGAGCGGGCTTGCCTGGGCTTCGGCATGAAGAATGCCAGGCGAGAGAAACTGGAGTTGCCAAAGGCGTCTATGGTTGGGGAAAGCATGGACTCTGTGGTTTGTCAGGATGGTCTGTGGTTCGGCTCGCAAGGTCCCTCCTTTGATGCACTGCTTTTTGCCCGAATCACCATGTGGAAAGTACCCATGTTCAGGGCAGCTCGACAGCTCCCCATACCAGAGCAGCAGATGCAGTGCACTATTCCACATTCCTCTTCCCTATTCCAGTGCATGTGGAAAGTACATTGTACATGATTCCTTCCATCCCCCCCACTTTCTTGTCGCTGCCAGCTAAGGGGCTGGAAGAGGTAAACAAGCACCCCAGGTTCTGTTAGAGCGTTCTGCGGGATTTGGAGGATGTCCTTTCGAGACAGTCGAACAATGAATCTATCGACACCGCAAAGAAGCGACAGAGTCTGCTGCTCTTCTGAAGAATCTGTTCCGATGGGGTTCCAATTCGTTCATCCAATCCCTTTGTGCACCCACCCCCCTGGACCATTCACCTGAATTCACCCGAAGTCACTCGAATTCTGCGCGCTTTCGGTGCTCACCGTACCCACTGAGGCAGCTCTTGCGGTCCTGCTTCAAGGCATGGCACGCCAGGCGACGAAACCGTTTCGAGGGCGACGAAGACGACGAAGCCGTCGTCTTCGTCGGGTGTTTGGGTGGAGTCGCCTTGGCGGGCTGAAAGGACCTCGCCAATCCGTGGAGAAAACGGTCACTATATGAGGGGTGAGGGGGAAGACGCCAAGGTGGCACGGATGTGAACTGGAAAAGGAGGTTTCTTCAAGTTCAGCCTTAGATCCATTCACTTTGCCTCCTAGTCTTCCTTCGTCAGATCAGTGATCCTCTCTCTGTATTTCCTGGGCATAAAGCCAGAGGTCCACTGGGTTCTTCCAGCCGATTCCCTTCAGGATTGAAGCCTTGCGGATGGTCCATGGATGCAAGCGTGGTTTCCAGGCATGCGGGGTTTTGGTGGTCAAGGGGTGAGAGAAACAAAAAGGGATAGAAGGGGGTAGAAGGGTGTGCTCTCCACAGACCGAGGCGTTCTTTTTTATTAAAAGATTCACTATTGTACTGAGTTACTTACTGGAGTTGTATCGAGTGTATGTCATGGTTTTCTAGAGGATTTCTAGATTGCTATGTCTTTTTCCGGTTCATTCCAATGCGTCGTTTGGGGAGCGTTGTCGTTACACGCTCCAGAACATCTGCATGTCTTCAGCTCCAGGGGAGGATGGAGGCGTTGGCAGCCAAGATGCTCGCGCGCTATTTGGAGGCAGGGGGGCTCCCAGGTTGCTGACTGGGATTCCAACAGTTAACCGGGAGGCTTTTGGCAGGACCTGAGCATCCCCAAAACTACGATGATCAGGCGGATCAGGTGGTCTTCCGTGGATTTCAACAGATGAAGCCAGACTCAACAAGGACTTGATTTTAAGCAAAGAGGGAATTGGGAGGTGGTTGAAATGGTGGTTGGTAGCCAAGTGTGATTCTGGATACTGTACGCCCTAATTAATCATGAAACCACTTTAGCGTGGAGAGGCAATGGTTCATGCTAGGAGTTCAATTAAGATGGCCAAGCTCACTTAACAGCTGAATAGACACACGCCCACACACACTTCCTTGGTGAGGGGAAGTCCTCATCTTCCGATCTTGCTAAGTTTGTTGAGCTGATGGTGTGCCATCGGAATTTCTTAAGGTGCTCCCCAAGCCACGTGAGCTCAACCCGTCACGGCAAAGCCAGGCCACTCCCCACGCAGTCTTTCTGGCTTGGCACGGGCCCCTGAATGGACCTGGGCGGTGGGAGCTGAGTGGTGGGCGTTGGCTCCTTCACGCCAAGCAGACTTTCCGCTCTTTGGCTACCGGCGACGGTTTCCTTCCAATCAATCTCTCCAGTGAGGTTCACTTTGGAGGGTCCAATCGATTGAGTCTTCACAGCCTTTTTGGAACAAAACCGCCCAAAGATATACCAAACCAAACCATCACATTCTATAGATATATAGATGATCTTTATATTAGACTCCCCGGACTCCCCGGACTGGCCCAAGCCTTCCCCAGATCATGGCCTTCTTTTCCTTTCGCATCCGACTGGACCGACGGACCCAGGTCTCGCGCCACTCGGCAGATGCGCTACGAGCGGGCGGCCCAGCAGATGCTGTCCAAGGTGCGGCGAGGTCTCAGTCGTTCGTTAGGGGTCCCCTAGTTTGGGAGGGATTTTGGGTGGGGAGGGATTTTGGGCAGATGTTTGAGGGAGGGAAGAAAGACATACTTGCGTACCATGATCATGTGTTTCTTTATTGTGTTCAACACATTTTGGTGGCGAACGACTGTCGTGCTAACTGAAGATAGCTGCTAGCTGCTAGCTAGCTATGGACATTCAGAAGCACCAAAGCGGACAGATCTAGCTTAACGCCGTCCAGCACATCCAATCTTCAAGCTGCTCCGGGCAGCTCAAACGACTGCCCAACGGTCGGGGGGGTCCACCGGGTCTAGCTCGCTGGCTCCACCCAACTCCAGAGGGTCCAATCATTTGAACGAAAATGGTCGGACGACTCCGGAGGAAGTGCTGCTCCACATGACCCTGGAGAAACATGCCATGGTGGGTGGAGAAATGGGTGGCCTCCCATGGAGGTCATGACCCTGGAAAGTGGAGGTCATGCCACCCACGGCTGCGGCTGGACAGCTGGACAGGTGGATTTCCTGAAGCGGTCGAAGTTGTCCAATCGCGATGCCTTGCTCTCAAGGACTTGCGGGTAGACTCACCGGGCTGTGGCGGGTGGTTTCTGCCGATGAGTCATCGAAGCCAGTCTTGCATTCAATTAGGAATGGGATTGATTCTTTCTTGAGCCACTCCATATTCTCTGGCATTCAAGATCCACATTGTGGACTGTCGTATCGCCAACACGTTGTCGTTAATCAATAGAGAGAGAGAGAGAGCGTGAGAGCACTCAACCCACAATAGCAACATTATAATACTCAGCACACCCAACCATGGAGAAATTCTATAGATTTCTACAGTATGTTATGTATAATATACTGTGTATATAGAGTCTAGTGTGTTTAGTTTTGGCAATCTATATTGAAGAAATGGCTATGTCAGGGTTACTGACCTTCGGACCTTCGGCACCCCTTTCTTCTTCAGAGCTTTGCCATTGGGAGCGTCGCCTGCCACGTCGCCTGCCAGGAGTCAGGATGCACAGCTCCGGGCCCTCGCGCGGAAGATCCTGGCGTTTTGGTGGCAGGAGCACAGCTGTGGCTTTGGGTGGGAGGGCTGAAGACGAAGAAGTACTTTGAAGTATGGGGGTGGGCTCATGGAGTCCTTATTGGTTTCATAGTTTTTGAGGTTTCTTCATTGCATTTCGATCAGATGGAATCGGGGGGTGGTGATGTTTGCATCGTAATTTGAGTCTGTTCTTGAGTGGTCCATTTGTCGGAAAAAATGGAGTCTTAGTTCTTCACCGAACGAACGAACCCATTGGATGCTCATGTTCTTTTGACCAGCAGGGTGATACGGCGCCTGTGAAGCGTGAGACCCTGTGAACAAGGTGTTTTGACCGATGGCACGAGCTTCACCGATGCTTTGACCGATGGCACGAGCACGATCGTTGGAAAAGGGTTATGCATACTGGATAGGGCAAATGCCATATACTTGTACTGTACTAGATGCTCCCTAATCGGCCTCAGTAAAGACAGTTGTTCTTGACTTGCATGATCATTTCCACTGGGTGTTTGCAAAGGTTTCCTCGTCGCGTGCAGCCGCTGCCTGGCCAAAGGTAGATTGTGCTGTTGCACGACTCACGAAACGTGAGAGGACATAGTGGCAACAAGAGGTGCTTGGCTTTTGCATCTTCGTCAGATGTACTCTTGCAAGGGGTGCTTCACCTGGAGAACATTCAAATGCTACGTTGTTTTATCATGTGCCGAAGAGCCAGCAGTTAGCTAGTCCAGTTACCACTGCAGTCACTCTCCTTAGGTCACCCTCTCCTTGTGGACGCCAACTAAAACTCAGAGACAGAATCTCTGTTGTAGACCTTACTTGATCTCGATTGCGGCTCAAAATCACCCCTTGGTCTTCACCGAACTTGTTCAGCTTTGACCTGGAGGGTCCTTTGGTCTTCACCGAACTTGAGGGGGACCACGTCACTCACGGTGACACCAGGGGGACCCACACCTCAGGCGTTCCAACCGATTAAGAAACCCAAAGAAAAATAGGCCACAACCCAGCCAGGGCCAGGGTGTCTCCCTATTGAAACACGCCCAGACCTGCCCAAAGCTGCGTTTCCCTCCGCCGCGGACACGTGACGCCGCCACTGACGATACCAACGCATGCCGCCACCGACGCCATGGCATGACGCATCGCTCGCCGAGTGACGAAGCGTCGCTGGAGCAGCCGATTGCCAGTCACCGGAGACCTGGATGTATAGACGGACTATATACCAGGACGCTACTAGGAGCTCCTGGCCTTACTAGGAGCAAGGATGCTACTAGGGGCTACTAGGAGCAAGGACGCTACTAGG